ATACTGGGTTTAGATATTTTTGAACTGTAGGAAAGATGTCTTATTGACCCCATCCAGATGCAGCCCTGGGATATCATTCCTGGGGTCTCTGGGACCCCTTTGCTTGCTCTTTGAGGCTCAATGACTACATTTTAGCAGGAGCAGGGGGACACTTTCTCAGCTCTATTCCCAGTCCCCTCTGGTCCCCAGTCTCTTGTGTTTGGTGAAAACTCAGAGATTCCCTGCAAAGGTTTGCCCATTGGGCAATTCAGAAAAACTTTTATATCACAAGGAATAAGAGGCAGCAGCAAATGTGCCCACTGGCCTATTTTCACATTTATTGCATCTGTGAATAGGCAGAACCCCACTTTTCACAAAATAGGTATCCAGTCCACTTTATAAGAATCTCTTTTTCTAAAATGAGACAAAAGGTGGCTTTGCATTTTCTGATTAAACAACCATGTCTTTGCTTAACTTTAGGAATATCAATGCCTGTGATTGTAGCTTCTTATTGATTTTCTTTCTGGAAGAATGTGATTCTCTTCTTGAGGGGTTTTATTGGACTAATCAAAACTGTACATGAAGGCAGTTACTATTTTGAGGCTAAAGGTTTTCTAAAAAAAAAATAACCTCATATTCTTACTATTAGAATCTTTCAGAATCTTTTATAGATGGTCGGAAACATTTGAAATTGCTTTTCCTACATGATTGGTGTGCGTGCGCGTGTGTGTGAAGGCCATGCCCTGTGTAAATCATTAATTGAAAAAAACATCGTCTGAGACCCCAAATTTGTAGGGAGGAAGAAATGGAGGTTGAGGGTTTTCCTTCTGCGTTAAGCACCTTCTGACAGAATACAGAGGCCGTTCGGCTGTCGACTAGCGTTTGGTTCTACCGCAGGTGAAGTGGATGTATAAATTATTGCATTGCTGTCCTCGACTTGTATAACCTCTAATCTTTGTTTGCATGACATGCTTTGTTAGATACATTAATTGTAGTTTGGAAGCAAGTGTGTATGAATAAAGGTAATGATCACTCCCCAGGGTGCCTGGTCTCATTAGCGTCCCTCTGCGGCCCTGCCATGGTGTTTCAAGTATTTGTCGGATAGAATCCAACTGGACAACACCTGCAGAGCA